GGTGGCCCCGGAGGCAATAAGAGCCTTTCCAACAACTGGCCCCGTGGCCTCTGAAGCGGCAGCGGCGAAACAGCAACAACAAAGAGCACGTCTGGCGGTAATTGTGGTGGGCTGTACGGCCCAAAAATACCTAGGCAATACCTGTATGCGCTGAGGGCGGGCACAGTTTTTCCCATCCCGCCCAAAAAACAACCCGAGCTGGGCTCAGACCTTGCCGACGACCCCTTTGTTGAGCATGCGTTGACGACTTTTTGCTGCGAGCTGTACCATGGCTACGGGATGTACCCAAGGACTGGCTCAAGAAGCAGGCCATCTGGCAGATCTACCTGCCCGCTCAGCGACACATCCCTCACCCTAAGTTTGATGTCATCATCCCAAACGAGGTCCACCAGGCCGACCTCCTATTTTTGCCACACAACAAGGTGGGACGGCGAATGTACAAGTACGCCCTGACCGTGGTCGATGTGGCCTCTTGCTACAAGGAGGCTGAGCCCCTGGCCACGAAAGAAGCTAAAGAAGTTGCCGATGCCCTGGCTCGGATCTACAGGCGGGGGGCCCTTGGGATGGCCCAGGCTGCTCCAGGTGGACCCTGGGCGCGAGTTTATGGGTGAGGTTTTCCCGGTTGCTGGCGAGGCATGGCGTGCAGGTGAGACGCACCCTTGCTGAACACCTCTTTGGGTACCAGTATACCCAAAAGATGCGGCTTCCAGCCGATGTCCGGTCTACAGAGTGGGTGTGCCGGTTGCTTGCGGTTGTGGCAGCCTTGAATGGTGAGGTCACCCGACTGAGGGGCAAAAAGCCTGTAGAGCCATTAAGCTAAAACATGTGCCACAAAATCCTTCCTCTTTTCTATCTGGGAGGCCTACTGGGTTGGAAGAGCAAGAGCTCCCCTCGGCCGTTGGTGTTCGGTATCTATACCAACCGGGTGAGTTGGATGGGGGCCGCCGCTGCGCGACTGACCCCATATGGTCGCTAGAGATGTACCGACTCGGGCGTTCGGTGACAAAGCCCGGCGAGCCCGTGCTTTACTATCTGCTGGATGGCTCACCTCGAGGCTTTGTCCGTGAAGAGCTCCTCATGGTACCCCCGGCACCCAGCTGCCACCGGACGGGGTCCTCAAGCGTTGAGCAGTTCATCTATATATGCATCCATCTCAGCTGCACCTGCTGGCACCCCTGTGTCCGTGTGCCAGCGTGTCCACTCCTTTTTCGGCTATCCAGCGCTTGCTGTCGAAGGGTGAGAGGGACACTTTATTCCGGTGCTGCCCATAGATGTGGTGGTGCTGTGACCGGAGATAATCCATGCAATGGTGAAAGGTTTGCTTTTCGAAGAGAGCCTCTTTGTACTGCTCATGACGGATGTGTTTCTTCACCACTTTCTTTTTCACACCCTTAGCATTCTTGATGTTTTCCCCACCAGCCTCAAGGATTAAACATATCTTAGGGCGCAAACCAAAATATTCAGCAATGGGGTGCCCAGCCCATTCGTCGTTCATCTTGCCGAGGACTTTTTGTTTGTCACACTGTAGAGCGGGTTGTCCTTCGGGTAGTAAGATGTATCATAAAGGTCTGCTTGCCTGGCCATGTCCTTAAACACATCCTCTGTGTGGATTGCTAGGAGCAGACTGTCTGTATCTGTGTAGAGAAGCTGGCAATGGTTCCTATACTCCT